GCAACCCCACTGCGAGTGTGGGGAATTATAGTAGTTTCCTTTTTATTTTCCATGAATCCCATATAAAGTCCAAACCCTCAACCCTAAAAACCCTAAACCCTGAAACCATAAACACCCTAGAATCCCTATAGTTTCTATTTCATTGTCCATTAATTTTGCCTCATCGTAGAATTTGTGTCGCAACTTCCAGGCTAGCGCTCGAAGGACCTGCAAAAGTTAGGCGTACCTTATTGGGGGGGTCCCCATAATGAGGATTATTGTATTTGGGGCCTATGTTGGGGGACATTTAGGGAAACTACAATGTTGAAGGGTTTTAGACTTTGCGGCTTCTAGGTAAGCAATTTGCTAGACGAAGAGATCTTTGCGCATGAAGTCCTTGCAAGTATAGGCACACACCATTCCAAGCTGCCGTCTATGTGGGCGCATGATGTCAAAATGTTTCAAAGACAGAGATGCTCATGCAGACCCTATGAAAAACGAGAAAACTGAAGGTCGAGCCACACAGGTTTCGAGCATGCTCGGAGAAATCCTTGGCTCCACGCATACGATCGAACCACTTGGGGTTGGCGGCTCGGGTTCCCGTGCCCAACTCCGCAAGGACAAGCTTTCCACTGTCTAACCAAGCAGCTGGTGAACAACTGCCTGCTGCAAGCCTGAGCTCACCCACAGCAGCTACACAAGCACAGATCTTGCTGAATTACGCAGTCAATGCAAACCACGGTCTGAGTACCGCACAATGAAGAGCCATCTTACAGACCCCCCTGCAAGTCCGATGCGCAAATTCCAGCCCAATCTTGCAAGCGAAGCAGCTGGCTTCGTCCATGCCACGCACAAGAAGATCCGGCTTTGCGGTGAAGTCCTCCCAGCTCAAGTCAGCTTCTTGGCAGAGCGTGTCCTTGGGACCATCGCGGCGCATTTCTGTCGTTCCAGCCACTCTAACACCACAGCTCTGCTGTTCAGCTAGGCAACGAAAAGACGATCTTGCCGTGCCTTATGCAGACCTGACTCCAGCTGCCGCTAAGTATGTCGGAGGATACATGCTTCAAGAGTAGCCCAAGGTCTACAGCTTTGCCGCTCTTCTGTGCTGGGCTGCTGACACATCTTCAAGGCCAAGAGCTTGACATTGGCTAGCTTGCCTGCGGCTACTCACGTGCCAAACAAAAGCCGACTTCCTGTCACCATATCGGGAGGGCTATCACGTGCCTGCAATGAAAGCCGCAGTGTCATCAGCATCATCATACAGAGCCCCAGTTGTTTCCATTTCAAGCACGCCCGACTCCTGCATGAAAATCTGCAGTGTCTCACAGAGTAAACACTGAGATAAGAATGCCTACCTGGACTCACGTCCACTTGCATGCCGTTTATGAACTTGTTTCCTGCACGTCTCTCCAGGTCAGACCCACCTCTTCCAGAGGTTTTTGTAGCGCCTTTCGCAAAGAATTGATTGCGGACTGGCGCCGCCTCGCCTTTTTGCCCGAGTCGTTCAACTCCAGGCCAAATCTCCGCAAGAGTGGCACGAGCAAGTAAACCACCGTTCCGCAAATCATCCAGACCCCCAACATGGCCAGCAGCGGGCTGCTGACATGGAATATGGCAGGAGCTAAGTTCTTCCTCAGATGCATCAAGAACCAATTTGATGGCAGGCTTTAATTGAAGTCCACCCTTTGCATCAAAACGTGCTCGGAAGTCATGAAAGGCCAATTCAGGCATCTGTTGCAATAGAAGAAGATTGCCGTGCTCTCTTTGGCTGCTTGACACACTATCTGTCCCAGGCTCGCAATCTTGTTCCCAGGCAGAAGCGCTTCAGCTTCACACTCTGCTGACATCTCCACAGTCGCAACTTTTGGCCTTAGCATAATCCAAAACATGAAAACGAAGGAAACCGCTGTGCGTGGCCAACTATGACAAAGTCTGAGGCCGGAACATTATCTTCATGAGCTCGAAAACACCGTCCATTGCCCGTGTGACCTCCTCCGGCCACGGAAACTCGAGGCCCTGCATGCAAAAGCAGTGAGTTGCAATTTCTTGGTGGCTGAACCAAGTGAGATGGGAGTGTTCTTGTACAACGCAACAACCAAAGGAGCAGGTTTATGTGAACTTGCTCTACACCTGAGACTGCGTCGTCCCCATCAAAAACTCCATCCATGTAAATTCCAAGGTCATGACCCGGAAGAATCTCGACTTGGTGGTTTCCCAGAATGAGGGTTACTATTTAGGGGGTCCCCATAATACGTAATACAAAATATTGTTGGGGTTTATATTGGAGTCCCCCCTATTTTGGGAAACTACCATATCATCCCGATGCCATTTGATTCTCCATCGCTGGGGTAATATCCCCAAATCCTAAACACTAAATTGTAATTTCCATGTTCTTTTCCATTCTCCCTACACAATCCTCAATATTGGAGCAAAGTCCCTATAATCACAGCAGCAGGTCTGCCTGGGAGCCAATTGGACAGTCTTGGACTGTGATGTTAGCTTCTGCACCTAGGTTCCCCAGTCATCCCTCAATAGTAAGGGCACCCTTTTCCTAATACTCAATCTTAATAAGGAGACGCCCAAATAAAAAGGGAAAAAGAGTACTACTGGGACCTAAACCCTAAATAGTAGTTTCCATTTTATTTTCCATTATTCCAATATAAGCCCAATCCAGCCATAATATTACCCTAAAAGGGGTTGGGTACTACCCTAAACCCTTAAACCCTAAACCCCTAAACCCTACACACTAAACCCTACTGGGGGTACCTAGGCACATGCTTGGAGCTGCTCAAGCTCCTTCTGCTTCTCAGACCAGCCAAAGCCGCCAACTGACCCGAGGTCGAACTGCGTCAATACAGAGCCTTTGATAAAACGCGCCGGAGATCGTTCTAAGTTCTACACAGTAGTCCCCAAACCCCTTTTAGGGTAATATTATGGTCATATTGGAGTTATATTGGGATAATGGAAAATGAAATGGAAACTACTATTTCGGGGGGTTTAGGGATGACGGGAAGGTCTTCAAAGCGGGAAGAAAGTCGGCGAACTCAAGAATAATGTGCAAAAAAGACATCTTGACATATACACGCCCGGGCCGGAGGAAGGTTGGTAGTACAAGAGGCAGGTTTCCCGGAGGACAATTTAGCAACCGCCACACCATGAAGGCCGGATTCAAACCGTGGCTGAGCCAAAAGCTGCATTCAAGGCACACGCTGCAAGCCACTGCGTCCCAACACCTTATGCAGCTCATGTACCACAAGAATCAGATCATAAATCTACACACACATGTAACAGAAGGTAATCTCAAATAGCTACAAGCTGCCTCCTGCCAAGGCACGAATCATGCTGGTGTGCAATTTTGTGCCTCCCTTGACGGCTGCAGTGGCAGCCATGACTGCCACCGCAAAGTTAAGCATTGTCTTCGCGAAGATGTCGTTGAGAACTCCCATCTCAGCCAGCGATCAAATGCTACTCTGAGAGGTTAGGCCACTTTTGTTTACCCTCACAGCTGAAATGAAAGCTTGTAGTCATATCTAGACCTTACCGCGAGCATTCCTGTAGGGACGGGGCAGTCACAGCACTGGCCGGATGGTCGGGGCATGGTGAACACAGCTCGGGATAGCTGTCTCGGGCCCAGTGATCCGGACACTCACCACACAGCAGGCCAGTTGATCCTGCAGGCAGATTCATGGTGGGAGTGAACGCACCACTCTCATCAGCACATGCGCTGACTGTAAAGCTCCAAGCCTGTGGAGCAGTTGTTTCCTTGGATTGTGCAATTGGCTAAAAACGGCTAGACCTAGACATGGAATGGCTTGAACTGTCTGCATCTGAAGCGCCTTGGCTCCCATGGCAACTTGTTGGCACCGGCAACCCGATTCGCTGCAAAGAGCATGCCTCGCCGCCTCCGCACGCAGAGACCTCGTCCACCACGAAGACATCGCAGGCCACGGCGGATGTCTCACCGGTTTGGTAGTACCCCGTCCTTACCAGGCAACTCTGGCACAGCAGCAAAAGATTTTTCTTAAGCGTCACAATAGCTGCAGAGTCTGCCATGCTGAAAGCTGGCAAGCAACTCCGCAACCGGTTGGGCGTGCGTGCGAGGCAGAGGCTGGCCATTGGAATCGGTCAAGTTGCTTCCCTCAAAGCCGCCTCGACATACAAGGCCCGTGTAGTCACAGGTAGCACATCTCGTCAGCACGCCAGTAGTTGGATCCGTCTTGGCATGAAAGCCTGGCTGGCAAAAGCAGTCCTCCAGACTTGAACTGCCCAGCGCGCTGTCAGCGCTGGTAGGACAGGTAAGGGGGCACTCACCATTGCCAATATTGGGCTTGTATTTCCCACGCTGGCAAGGCTGGCAAAGGGATTCGTCATTCACAGAATAGAAGCCTGCCATGCAAATACAATCTGTAAGTGACCGACCCACAGAGGTTGTTGTGGAGTTCTTTGGGCACGGGGTCGCTTGTCCAGTGCCAGGGCAGTAGGATCCCAAAACACAGTCAACGCACGCTCCATTCTCATCTGCGTACAGTCCCACCTGCACGAGACGCAGCATCAGTCTCTAGCAAGCTTGCCACTGCCAATATGAACAGGGGTGAGACTAAAACCGCTACAAGCCTGGCACTGACAGTCATCAGCGGAGGTGGCCCCCGCTCCCAGCGTTGACATTAATTCCGGGCATCGAGTACAAGACACATCGCCCACATCTGCCTCCAAGCATTCAAGGCCCCCCTCAAAAGCAACTTGAGACAGCTTGTGCGCAGGAAATCCCATCATCGCTGACACGTTCATGAAGTTGCTTCTCTGCATTGGCATGGCAGCTACCTCATGTTGGGCAGTAGCAGGAAACCCCGCCTTGTAGCCGCCTTGCTCACACAACGCACAAGTCGACGAGGCAGCGTCGTAGCCATAGCCAGGGCTGCACTGACAGTCGTTTTGACTGAGGACTTGGACTCCTTGCTTGCAGTTAGGGCAGTCCGAGTGCAACCCAGCATGACAAACACAGAGGCTCCCAAAAGTCCTGGTGGCACAGAGCGGCGTGCGGGGCATTTAACGGAGGTTTCCGTGATTTCAGGGACGCTCTCGACCGTCAGCTCAATGCCGGCAGCACCCAAAGTCCTAAAAACCGCAGAGAAGGCAGGAAAACACATTCGAGCAGCGGGTTCCCAATCTCACATTCAAAGGTTTGACTTGGGTTACAGCAGCGAGCTGCAGGGCCTCGCATCTAAGCCTAAGCTTTGTGATACTCCATGCTGCTGGGGTCTGCAGGGCTAAACTTCAAGGGTAGGTAAGATTCTCCAGCACCTGTCGTGGTCATGCATGACAGCTATGCCCAAAATGGTGGAGCTTTGAAATCACAGAAGCAGGAGAGCGCTGGAATCGCGAACAGTGCGCGCAAAGTCTCAGCAACCCCCAGACCCTAAATAGCAGTTTCAATGTTGTTTTCCATTCTCCCGATATATAACGCCCATATAACCCTAACATTACCCAAAACACAGCCCCTCTGGCAAACCAGACATGACAGAAAATTTAACATGGGTCAGGATACATCAATACAGCTCATCTGTCAATTAGCTGTAGAGTCCATATTCCGACATACCCTCCCACTGACAGCAAGCAAAGAAACAAAAAGCATGTACTCCCACAAGCCAAGCTTCGGGTGCTGCTCCACAGCATTTCCAAGCTCTTTGGAAAGTAAATCTACCTCATGGGCCATGAGCATGCACACAAGTTCTGAGCAACACACTCTCATATGGGTGGTTGTCAAAATTATGGTCCCTTTTTGGATCCTGAATATAATACGGCACCTAATATGTAGGCTACCCAAAAAGGGATCATAATTTTGACAGCCCCCCATATTGAAGGCCGAATGCAGCCTGGGGGCATCCATGTCTTCGAGGGTCAAGGCTGCTTCTTCAGCTGTACGTTGCTTGATAGTGATGACAACTGCAACAGAAGATGCGAGCCGGCGCCCGGTGGTGTTGCTGGGCTGCCCCTCTTGCACGAAGTCCTTTCGAGACAGGGATATGAAGTCGAGACTATGAGCTACAACTTTCTGCGGGCAGGATGCGATTTGGATTGCATCAGGATCAGCACGGGTTGAAGCTGATAACGTCGAGACGAACGTTGCCTTGGCTTCATCACTTGGCCAAAAGTGTGTGCCTTTGCGCAGCATCTAGCATTACCCGAACGCTATAAACTTTCAACAAAACGGAGTTGCCTTCAGCTGGTTCTTCAGCGTTTCCTCCTCTCCGTCAGCTGGCAGCTGCGCGATGGTCATGTTGAAAGTGATGGCAGGAACTGCTGACTCATTCTTGAGAACTGGCTGGGCCGGGATAGATGTCCCTGCGTCGCCTGTCACGTTCGTCGAGTTAGACGCTGTTGACTGATTGTTCCCGTCGCTCTGGTTGGAGCCAGTGTCGATCGTCTGCTCTACGGGAATGGCACAGGCAGACTTTCCCCGTGAACCTGTAGAAAAAGTTGTGAAGCCTGTAGGACACGGAAGGCAAGGTGCCAGATTCCCAGGCAAAGTCTTGTAAGAGCCTTCACTGCAAGCACTGCAGCTGCCCGAAGCCACGCGTTCATATCCCCGCTCGCAAATACATGCTGCCATAGAGGCCTTGGTTGCAACTGCGCAAATTTTGCCCTTGCCTTCTTAGCTCATAACATTGAATGAACACTACTCCAAACAGCTACATCTATCCGAAATAATCCACGCAACTGATCCTCGCAACAGGGTTGTCTCGCCATTGGCACAGGCCACCCGGTTTGCTAATTCAGGACGCCCTCCACCTTGCTGGTAGCTTGCTGAAAATGAAGGAATAAGTTGGGATGGACTCTGAAAGAAACTGCTTTCCGACTACTATCGCAATCCATTCCTCTCAACAGCAATAGAGGAACTTTAATTGATTGAACCCCAAACAGGGAACCCAAGAATATACCAGGAATATACTAGGAATATACTAGGAATATGAGGACTTTGGTAGGTACATTTTTACTCCTATTATGTTCTTGGGGTTCCTGTTTAGGGCTCCCAATAAAGTCCTTTTGAGCAAAGTCACCGCAGTAGTAGCCCCGCGTGCATTTCTCACAAACTTGGCCTGGCAGGCGAAAATCAATGATAGGTTGTCCAGTTGTGTGTGTGATTTTTTTGGTGGTTTTTCAAAAAGTAGGGGTTCCCTTACATTTGCTCTATAGGGACTATAGAGGTGTATGCAAGGTTTTTTGCTTCCCCAAAATCAGGGGTACCATTTCGGGGGTCCGTACAAGAAGGATTACAGTATTTGGGGGTCTATCTTGGGGTCCCTCTATTTATGGAAATTACCGTTTCGCTCCCCCGGAGTTTGTAGCTTGAAGGCAGCGATGCTGGACCACCAGAAAAACTCCCTCCCCGCTCGTGATGACCATTCTGCTGCTTCGGTAAACAGGAGGAGTATCCAGACCCTGGGAGGATCTAGAAAGTAGAACCCCCATCATGGTACCTTACACTACTATTGGGTAATTTCTAGGAACACTTAAGTTGGATCTACTTTCTAGCTCCGCCCAGGGGTGGATGTATGCATACTATAAAGTAAGTCAAGTGTGTCTGTGTTTTTGGGTCATTAGGTTCTTGATGGAGATTGTCTGGGCCGCCCCGCTGCCGGAAGCTCCAATTGCATAGCTTCCTGGCGGACAGTCAATCCGCATAATGCCACCTGAGCCGAGTTTCTGTTACTGTACTAGGGTTTAGGGTTTAGGGTAGAAAAAGGTTCAACTATGTAAGTTGTTCTTCGGGACTCTTCCCACCTGGGGCCCGGAAGACTGAGGAGTCGCCACAATCGGCATTGGCGGGGCACCAGCAAATTCGATATCGCCCCGGCATGGCTCCTGGACTGAGAGAGAGAGAGAGAGAGAGAGAGAGAGAGAGAAATAGAGAGAGAGCGAGAGAGAGATAAGAGAGAGAGAGAGAGGGAGAGAGGGAGAGAGAGGGAGGGAGGGAGATAGAGGGGTCTTAGTCAGACGGTCTTAGTGCCTTAATATGGGGAGCCACGTTCAACAATGCCATGGCCTTGAGGCAGCTCACCAAGGCTGGCTTCAAGCCCGTTGGCAGTTTCCATCACAGAGATGGAGAGGTCAAGACGCGGAAAACCTCGTGCGCCCATGCCTGCCGCTTCCCCGCATTCACCATTCGCGATGAACACCTGGTCCCCTGCCTGCAAACCAATTCCAGTCACCAACACTGTGCAGTTGCTGCCAGTGTAGCAAACTGTCGTTTGCTCGAAGGGCCCGCTTGCAGTCATCAGGCCCACTTTAGCACGGAAGCTTTTGGGAGACTCACACGTTTCACCATCACCTGGCCTGCAGAAACAAAGACGAAAGATTCCTGGCGAGGATAGCAAAATATCACTGCCGTTGCCAACAAATCCAAAGTCTTTAGAGTTGTTGGTCTCCATGATGCCACTGCTGGGAAAGCCGGGTAGCGAAACGCCTCTGCCACAGTCAGAGAGAACCATGAGCCGGTCCCCGCTTTCAAGGAGGGCACCTAGGATACCAGGCACAGCGCATGGCTGTCCAATAGAACATCCGCTCTCCTGGTTGGTTCTAGGGCCGACCACGCTTAGTCGCCCAGCGTACACGTTGAATTCCTCTGGAGACGAGCATGCATTCACTACCCCCCGACCACTTGCACACCAACAAAGAAAGTATCCAGACTGGTCCGCGTCAATCGACAAGTCATACATGCTCGTTTCATCAGAAACACCAAAGCCAAGAGCCAAGTTTGTAACGGCACCATCCAGCTTCTGCTTGTTGCTCAAGGTGCCAACCCCTTCAGTGTTCGAAGTTGAGATTTCAGCCACTGCCGTGGTCCCACACGCATCCCGCCGCACAGCAACAAGATCGGTAGCCTCCAGCTCAAAGCCAGCAAATGGCCACAAATCGATGCAGTCGCGCCCACGCACGCAGCGAAAGAAATTGTCTGAAGGACCAGCAACCAGAAGTTGACCCGCCTTTATCAAATAGTTGGCGTTCAGATCTGTGCAAACCAGACTTTCCATGTTGGCACACCAGCACATGTTGTAGAAGCCACCTCCAGGTGTAAAATCTTCAGGCTGGTCCCCCCACACGTATTGGCTGCCGCTGTCGGAGACCTTGGATATGCCATCGTTCTCAATTCCTTCCACAGAAACTTTGGCTGACTTGCAGTCTGCGGAAGAGATTCCGAGACGATGACCAGCCCTCAGCCCATAACCCGTTATGTTGTCCACAGTGCAGACACGGCCTGAAACACACTGACGTTCCTGCTTGGAATGTGGCCGTACACATGCAGTTTCGTTGGAAGATCCGGTCTGCTCAGTTGTTGAGCCACCTTTGCATCGGCGGCAAGTCCCGTCTCTGTCAGCACCCAGGTCGGTGCTCCAAGTTCCGATGCCACATTGCACACACGAGTCCAGTGAAGTAGCTTTGCTATCCAGAGAATATCGACCAGCTGGACAAGGCTCACAGGTCGCTGCACCTTGCGCTGAAAATCGTCCGGCATTGCAGTCATCGCAAGAATCGGCCCCAGCACTCGAGTACGTTCCAGCTTCACAGTCCTGACAAGGTGCGTTGCCGACATCTTCTTTGAACTGGCCGGGCATGCATTGCTCACACTGTCCCGTGGCATTGAGGAAAGTTCCGTCGGAGCAGACGCAGTCGCTATCGCTGCCGGACATTTCACTGATTGTTGTGCGAGACTCACTACACGCCTCTCTGTGCGTTCCTCCAAGACAGAAATAGCCATCACCACAAGTGGTACATCCCCCTTTTTCCCAATCTGTTGTGTATCCAGCTGAGCATGTGCAGGCAGCAATGGAGATAGCACCCAGCTGCAGGGTGGTGAGCGGGAATTCGAGGGTTGGACAAGCCAGGCAGCTCGTGTCCCCCACCGTCGACTTATAAGTTCCATAAGGACAACTAACGCATCCCGCAAGCAGACCAGTACTCCCATCAGCTGCCGGCTGCTTTCCATGCGGGCACTTGCAGTCAGCCAAGCTAGTTACAACGGCTCCGGGCTGGAAACCCAAACCATTCGGACATTCCAGCGCCGACATTTCTACCTCCGTCAGCCGTGTGAGGTTGGCAGATGCAAGCTCAGTAGTGCTCATCTCAGTATAGACCCATGCGGCGAAAGGTTCAGCATGGAGCTTGCTCTGCATTTCAGCCGCGAGCTCCGGGTCAGAGCTGACAATCTCAAAGTCCAGACGCCAGTCTCTCACATCACCCACTTCCAGCGTGAGAGATGCACGCGTCCCCGTTGAGATCTGCAGGAGCGTGGAGATAAGTTCGCGGATCTCTTCTAACAGTTCTTCTGTGGAGGCGTCAAGGACGACCAGTGACCCGTTGAAAGAATGCACAGGTGCCACGCTTGATGCGACTTGAGGAGTGCTGTTGCTGGAGATATGGGACAAATCGGCTAAGTTGGCACAGAGAAACTGGTCTGGGGCAGAATTCGCATCAATGGCATCCCCCTCACAAAAGCACTCTGTAATGCTTGCTGCGCCGGTCAGAGATGTAGTACCTGCAGGGCATTTGCCAGTGCACTCCTCGAGACGATCTACAGAGTTCTTGAAGAATCCTGCCGGGCAGCCAAGGCCTAAGTTCCCCGACACTTTTGCTTTTATGAAAGTGAAAGCCATTGCATCTAAAACAACAACCAAAACAATAATAAACTTACTGACCGCTGGGAAAAGCCCAGAAGCATGCACCAATGCCAGTATCAACATAATAACCACGCCGGCATTCACACTGGCCCACTTCGCTTGCTCCCGCATCAGATGTCCCTCCAGCCGGACAAGCATTCTTTGGTGCGCTCACTCCACCAGGGCAGTAGTAGCCCGGTGGACACTGTTGGCATGTCTTCCCTACACCAGATAGCTCATACCACCCCGCCGGACAAAGAAGCTGGAGTGTCACTGCCACTGCTCCGAAATGCCAAGGCTGGCTACAGGGGGGAGAGCTTTTATCCTCAGACTCGGAAGAAGCCGAGCACCAGCACAGCTTGACCACTTCTTGGACCACACCATTCCTGAGTTGCTGTTGAGGAATTTGATTTCACTTACTATACTGGGGAAACCCTATTATTTACCATGTATACCCATTCTTATAACTTAATTTAAGTTCCTTAGCAGCAACCTAGATTCCTTAGCTGCAGTTCCCCGAGGTTGAAGGCAAGGCCATTGTCACCCTGTGACAATCCTATCGGCTGGGGTGTCGGGAAGTTGGCGGCGAGTAGGGATGTCTCACAGTCAGCCAGTGGCGCGACGGTATCCTGGGCAGTTAGGCTGACACCTGGCAGATTTTCCAAGGGTTTAGGGTTTCGGGTGCCCGAAACCCTAAACCCTAAAGGGGTTTAGGGTTTAGGATTTTGGGTGCAGGGTTAAGGGTCTATTGGGATGTCTCCAAAACCTTCCCTACTAATCCCTTCCCCCAATAATAAACCCCCCGAATATAAAGTACAGGTTCCCCAGAATTCCAAATTCTCAAATCTGCCCCCAAGACTACTTTTCGAAACGGCCAATGCTAAGGTTAATTAAATTACGCTCGGCTCGTCTGAATTAAGGGAGGTCCTAGCACGACTCTTAAGGATTAGGGATCTCCTTATTTTCCTAGATTCTGATGGTTTTTGAATGGTTTCTAGAAAGGCGTCTATAGAAAAACCGAATGCAAGGTTAATTGGTTCTATTGCGAGTTCAAATCGCTGTTGATCTCCATTCTAACGGACTTTAATTTTCATTTCAGCTAATTTGAGTTCGATCAGACTTTACATAGGAGCCATTGGCTTGATTACGATGCTAAATGACTTTAAACAGTTTTACTGAGATGTTCATTTGATTTCAATTGCTTTTTTAACTTAACTACAGTTTAATTGCTTGCAGTACGCATTTAATTGGATTTAATCGTCGGTTATTCGAATTAATCTTTTTCATTCGATTGTTTTTCGGTTTTAATCAAATTTAATAAGATCCAACATTTTTCCCCTGATATTCCGGTCCCACGATAAATACCCCCCTAATACAAAAAACGGGTCGGAGTTTATATATACTAGGGTGGGGAGGGGACGACGTTAAATATTAGGGGAAAGCATTACAGGATTTTGAAATCCCATCGTAGATGCCAACGTTGTGAAACCCCACCTCGGAAGGCTGCAACAGAGCATTCGGAACCGAGATAGCACTGCGCAACCTGTCCAGAGTAGGGCCCAGTGGCCAGGAAGAGCCCAATACTCGTGGTGTAGTCACCTGTGGGTTGCTCAAAACTTGAGTGGCCTTCGGGAACTTGAGGGATTTGGGGATGCACATGGAGTGTGTGGAGCATGTTACAATGTTGAGACACATCCACCTACAGTGGTACAGGATATGCCCGCTGCTGGGTCTGGGCGACACCAGCAGAGTTGGTAGATTCCTGGCTCGGTCTGCAACGGTCCCGAAGCGAAATAGAAGACCATGCCTGCTGCCAGCGAGGACGTGTAGCCAGGCGTCGGAAAGCCCGACAAGAAGCTGCTATCCCCACATCTGGAAAGGACCGTTAAGTGATCGTCGTCTAGAAGGTTTTGACCCCCACCAACTAGAACAAGACTGCAGTACTGTCCCAGGAAGCATTCTGCCTCTGCACCGGGATAGGGACCTTCCAGACTCAGTGTAGCAGCATCAGTCTCCAAGTAGACTTCAGTGCTGAAGGAAACCAAGTCCATGGTGGTGCATGGAGTGCCTTTTGACGAGCACCAACATAAATTAAAGAGGCCCGGCGAGTCATAGACCGTGTAGTTCAGGCCGAATTCAAGATCTACTTCCCCAGGGGTGTCAGAGGCTACTGGAGTCACGAAGAAGGGCAGTCCCTGAAAGCGTCTGGCTCCGTCCAGATTGCATTCAGCCCGAAGGGTGAGTAGATCGTCTCCAGTCAAACCAAGGCCTCGTAGTCTTAAGCTTCCTCCAAGGCAAAATCTGCCACGCACGCAGGTGAAGTATTGATTCGGAAATGGGCCAGCCACGGTCATGGTCCCAACCTCGAAGTCAAAAAAGACAGGCTGGGTGCAGCGGCGCACTTGCGGGACGCTCTTACTACGAAAGCCGAAGCCACCACACCAGCAGAGCTTGTACATGCCAGGGGTTGCCGAAATGGGGTCGGGCCAGGAGACTGAATAGTTGGTGGTGATCCAAGCTGTGGAGGACCCAAAGCCAGCCACAGCAGTGACAGCATCGTCTGCAAGACGCCTAAATGGAGGAAAGCCATTACCAGGCCCATATCCACCGTAAAACCCGCCTGATCCACCAAAGTCATATCCTCCAGGACCACCATATCCGCCAGGACCAAATCCGTCAGGACCAAAGAAGCCTTGGTACCCGGCGTACGAGTACTGTGGGGTCCAGGAGTAGCCGTCGGAAAGCTCATCACACCCACCATCCTTGACCATCACAGCGTGCACACTTGTGTCCAAAAGCCCAGGGCCCTGCTCAAATACAAACGAACATGTCTTGCCAGCCGAGCACTCCACCGACTGGTTCATGCCCGGCTGAAGACACGCATCCACGCTGACTTCGCTTTCGTTCTTGGTTTGTCCGCCGAGGCAGCGTGCACACACAGTCGAGGAGTTCGAACCAGTCTCGTTGACATAGCGCCCAATCGGGCACGCCGTGCATTGTCTGCTACCAGACCGCTCTGAATATCTGCCACCGGGGCACTCAGCACAGGTGGCACTTTGAAACTGGTCATTGTAGCGGCCTGCCTCACAGGAAGTGCAAGCCGATTCATTGTCTGATCGGCTTTGACCGTACCCGCATGAATCACAATATTCTGAGCCGAACTCAGCAGTTGTGCCTGCCGGGCAGGCCTCACAACTGGCGCGGTCAGACGCAGGCTTTGTTCCTCCTGGACAGTCTTCGCACCTTGAGCTGCCCTCCGATGAATAGCCAAACCAACAGTCGTAGCACCAAGCAGAGCCAGGCTCAGTATACTTGCCAGCCGGGCATAAGGAGCATGCTGTCCTGTTATCTAGTGGTATGGAGCCACCAGGACAGGAATCGCAGCGGCCTGAGCCCTCCGAAGCTACTTCTGACCACCCACACGGCTCACATGACCATGAGCCCTCCGCTGAGTATGTTCCTGCGGAGCAAAGCGCGCATTCGCTCGCGCCATCTGCCGAGGAAAACCGACCTTCTGGACAAAGAAGGCATTCAGTTCCACCGACAGAATAGGATCCTTGCCAACAAGGGTAACACATCGTGCCGTCCCAGCTGCTGCTCCCAACTGAGCAGTTCTCGCAAGCTGTGTAATTGTTTACGCTGAGCTTGCCAGCTGGACAAGCTGTACACTTGGATGACTCTTCAGCGGCATAGGTCCCGGAGTAGCACTCGTAGCAGAAGAAGCCGTCATTGCTGTAAAATCCAGCGGGGCATGGATCACACCGGGTCCTGTCACTTGAGGGTTGTGTGCCTGGACTGCATGGACCGCACCTGATCGTGCCATTTGTATCTGCCACGCCCATGCTGCAGTCGTCACAAGACAGGCTTGACGGAGACCGCGCGTGCTTCCCCACTGGACATTCCTGGCATGAAGCCGCAGCTACAACCTTGGCTGCACTTTGCGACTTAAAAACGCCAGATGGCAAAGGTCGAAAGCACAAAAAGCCAAGAGTTCCCGTAAAGTGATACAAAGCAACATTAGAGTAATGTCCAGGAGGGCATGGAGTGCAGAAAGCCTCGTGCGCGTGCAGCTGCCACAGGACACCTGAGCTTAAGTCGAAGCAGGGCTTTGCGCTTTGGCACAGCGCTCCAGCTCTATGTATGCTTCTTGTAGGTCAAGATGAACAATGCAGAATGTTCTGAATTATGATGCAGACACCGTCGTCCGCCAAATAAGTTCCCTCCGAGCACTCGGTGCACTCTGTTAGGCCCGGCATGTTGGCGTACTTCCCAGCTGCACAGACCGTGCATACTCCATTTTGCTCGAAATGTCCGTAATCACCTCGCACTGTTTACTGTTTCTCTCAAGCTGGCTGAAGCAAGCACAAGAACAGTTTGCAGCAGACTTCTGCGACGTGGCATTGCCAAAGCCGAGCTTCGGGCATTTCACGCACCTGGGCTGGGGGTGAATTCATATCTCTACGGGAGCCGCTACACCATTCATCACAGCATTCCAAATCAACACCCTTCGATCAGTGCAGGCTTACTCTACTGCCTGTTCCCATATTGCCTGTCTAAATATTGCCTATGAGTGAGACCCTGCCTCTCTCAAATATAGCCTGTGTGTTGCAAGCTGCACCCCAACAAAAGCAGGCAAGGAAGCAATCAGTCCATGATGCAGTTGTTGTGGCACAAGTCAACTAGGCAGTTGCACAGCATTAATTTCATGTTTTGTAGAATTACGGTGTGGCAAGACTGTGGGAGCTACCATCAACACTATATCTCTGCCACTGCTCCCATCCTCAATTTTGGCCATGCTCAAAGGACTCACTTCCTTGCACTCAAAACGCCAGTGCTTAATGCCTGCCGAGCGGCGGAGGACTTGCACTGTCATCCTGCTGGTAGCCAGGCCTCAGCGTCGCCACGCACAGACTCTGAATTGCATTGGGGAGAGTCATGTGAAGAACTACCATACAGCCATAGTAACCAAGCAAGGTGAGATAAGCGATTCTACAAAAATCTCGCTTGTCCGATCTCCAACGACACTTGCCCTGAAGCACTATGCATCTTCCTGCTTCCTAGACTCTGCTGCTGGTAACGCTGAGCCTGCTACAACTACCCCGCCAATATGAAAACCCTTTCCATTGCTAGCACTAGCACCAGCACCAAACCACCACCAAACCACCACCAGACCACCACCAAACCACCACCAAACCACCACCAAACCACCACCACCACCACCACCACCACCACCACCACCACCAAACCACCACCAAA